ATATCTGAAGTGAAGGTGGTGGTAAACTTGGGGGTGATTATGATTGAGAGGGTAAGTCCAAACGGAAACATTAAAACCAGCGAAGAAAAGAAGATTTAACACTGGAGATTATCGAGAAAGTCAAAGATTACGAAGATACTAGAGATAAAGAAGGTGATTATTACGATCCCTTTTATTCAATAATGATGCAGGTGTGTCGTGACAAGGGGATGAAAAATGAGTACGACGAACAGTCAAGAGTAAAGCTGCACAACTATCGAGATGATTTACAGTAAATAGTGATAACTGAGCCCTAAATGAAAGGTTGAGCGAAAACATATTTTAGTGAGTATAAGTGAGAACATAAAATAAACAATATAGTAAACAGTTTGTAAGAAAATATGAACCTATAAAATATTATAACAACCTATGACATCAAAAATGCTACTGACCAGAATCACACAAAATGGGTTTCCAAAAAGTTTCATGCACACTGATCAAAAACAATAAATAAAACACTATATTTTATAGAGCAATAAATTAAGTACTTTAGCAAAACCTTCACGAATCGTCTTCACGAATACCCCAATAACATAGCAGTTTCAAAATACTGTACACCAGTACTTTTCATTTAATTGATATAAAAAAGTTGTTACTCCATAACGCAACACTTGATTTGCAAATATTTAATAGCACACGGCCTCGCCGTTGGAAAATTTCTATCGCATAACGTCAGCTGAGTCGAACGAATTGTCGCACTGAGTATGACAATTCAGTCGGTATGAACTGTATCATAATAGGAGTATTAACACAATCAAAAATATTCTGACAAAACCTAAATTCATGTGTTTTTTATATCCCAAGAGTTTTGGGGTATCTAAATCGCCTCTCACATGACCGGAGGGTTGCTTAATTTTCTTTCAATTTTTGCGCACATTGAAAATTAACAATGTACATAATACTACAATAAGTTATGTTTATTCTGGTAAATAATACTATTATAAATTATGTATTTATTATCATGATTTTCCGAGTCTGGGTCTAAGTAGAACTCACGAGATGCTCTTTAAGCAAACATGACGATGGCACGATTGAAAACGGAACAATGGGCAAAGAGAAGAGGCCAGTGAATCAGGAAACTTCCGAGGGTACAGTCCAATTTCTACTTGCAGGTAGCTGAGTTTTTAAGCCTGCAGCTAGAAGAACAGCTAAGGCATTTTTGCAGTGCTTTGTGTACTTCATACTTAATGATATATAAGATATATGAAAGTATCACGTATGCAGTACTTTTGATATGATGATTACGAAATTCAAGAGAACTACGAGAATAAACGCAACAAAGGCAAAATGATCACAATAATTGACTCAACGATTCAAAATACTTTAAGCTCCAGAAAATCTGTGACGAATCTGATTTTTCGACTACAAATTACTCGTGTATCGTCAGCATTTACGCATGTGCTCCAGAAGTGGAAGGAGATCGGTCGGATACGACGGGTCGTATTGGCTGATTGCCCTTTCGAGTGACGGTTCTAAATGGGAAGGTAAGATCGCGCGCGGTCTTTGACCCATTCAGTAGAATGCTGCTCCGGCATACGTCTAGAAACATCAGAAACAATTTTTTCAAAGGCGTTCACTTTACGAATTTTATGTCAGAATGCACTACAAATTCACTCTAATTTGCAAGCTCAACTCTCACGACAGTCACGGTGACTTTTTCTTCCGGAAGATTTTTCCAACTTTCAATGGATGCCGATTTCGGCTATCAAAGACCCACTATGCCCATCTTGTGGGACTCATATTTACTTTTTTACTCTAGACACACATTCGGACTCCTCGGTCTGTGGGCAACAGACTCACAAGGCCTACCACAACACACATGAAAGACAAGGGATAAACAACCGTGGCCCACGGCGGGACTCGAACCGACGGATCACGCTCTAGCCACCTCGACCATCCAGGTCGGTACACACTCACTGACACCAAGCGCTCTAAACCCAATTCACTGCTCACAGTGAATTGCGCTGGACCCTCATTCCGATGGGGACGCCGGAACGGGATGGTACGAGGTGATGGCGACCGGGCGAGACTCCAAGGGCGGCGCGGGGGTGGGCGTCAGACGCGAGACGCCTTGCCCGCCCTCACAAGCGGCGCTATGAGAAACGCGCGCCCCAACTTCGCGCCGGGCGGCCGGCATCATTAAATAGAACTTGACTCGTGTTATACGCCGCGGAGGACACAAAAGACGGCACTTTAGACGCATGCGCACAATGAATGGCTCGCGACGGAGCTCTTACGGGGAGGAGAAGGGACGAGGAACGAGATGGAGTCGGGCAGGGAAAAAAAATCTTTTGCCAGTTTCTTTCAATAGTCGTCCCCGTGTTTCCCGAGCCAGAATCGCGCTTCTTCTTGTTACGGAGACGAGCGAGAGAGGGGAGCGAGGTCTTTGTTGTTTTTTTGGAGCGCGCTGAGGGACGTTAGAGATGCAAAGCGGGATGTGGGATGTCGGCGACTGGAGCTGACGTTGCACTTTCGGAGAGGGGTAGATAAAATAAGTCGCGTCTCTGATGCAAAACGGCAGACGGCAGAGTAGGGACATTAAATTAATATGTAATGTAACACGGCCATAAGAAAGTGGATGATACAAAGGATAACGGAGATATATAAATGCAAATTACATCGTTAATGCTTGTTTTCTTGTATATTTTAATGTTTTATAAATTGATTTTTCAATTTTGCGATGTAATGTTTGATACAAGACCATGGCACTTCTAATTATTTATTTCCAAAATATATTAGAGATAAAAATCACAGACTTCCTTCTATCTGGACTTCACGTTTTTGGCAAAAACCTGTAATATGGTAACAATTTTTGCATTCATGCAAAAATTTTTGACAATTAAGTGCATAAAAGTATGTAAGGTGGTAACAATATAAAAATTCACTCTTCAAAACATTTAGAGAAAATAAAAAAGTATGGTTGGCGTCTTTCTATAAAGGAATTAAATTCTAGATCCCCCCACCCAGTGTGATCAATATTACCATAATTCGATTCTGACAATTTTTTTTAACTTTTTCAACTTTCAAAATCTAATAAGTTTCGAAAGCGAACTACTTTTTTGTCTCCGAACATTTAAGTGAAAATAGAATTTAGCGAACTAACCTTACACAGAGGATGGCGCATCTCTCATTATTCGCATTGTCCTTTGCCGTGAAGTCGATATTTCAGTCGAGGATAACACAAGAGGGTCTCGCTGCCTCTGGAGAGCGTGAGAGTCGCGCGAGGCGGGGAGGGGGAGGGCAGGGGAGGGGCGTCTGGGGTGGAATTAAGGAAATTGCAGCGCTGCAGTAAAACAGAAGCGTTTGAGTCGAGGGCGTTAGAGAGCTCTTAGAGGAGGGCAAACAGCGTCTTTGTCACCGCCATCGGCACTGGCGTCCTCCGCCCCGGCCTCCGTCCTCACCCCCCAAACGTCCGCCTCTCCACAGGCGCGCCCGTGGCCGTCCCCTCGCGGGCCACCGGCAGGCATTGTCCACAGCCGCGAGGCGCATCTGGTGAGTTACTTTCTCAAAGAAATCTCTATACAAACCAGCGTGTGCTAACACTTTCCCCACAATCTCCAAAACGAATAATGAACTACACGAAGATCATTCCACGAAAACTGGATCATTAGAAATCTCTCTTTTTTAATTCTGTTAATGTTTGTAACTCAGTTCCCAAGCCGTATTAGGGATTGGACATGGAGTATTTCTTCTTAAATGTACTCAGTCTTAAAACATATGGAGTAATTCTCGTTTAACGTAGTGCTGTTGCTGTCACGTTATTGCATTTTATCGCAATCAGCCAGGGGCTCGGGAACGTTAGTATATGTGGTTTCCCAGGCGGTCGCCCTTTCCGGGACCCTCAGTTTCTCGACATGCTTAACCTAAGTGATTTCATTTACCGTGACTTCATTGACGCTGGCTATAGTCGTAGACGTTTGTCTCTTCTAGGCCGTAACTCTTATGTAACAGAAATGTTCACGTAAGTTATTACATCTTTACCTGACTTTATGTTACAGTTTTACTGCTTCTAAATTTAAGTTTGGTGTCAATTTGTTTTCACATAACGTCTTTTTCAGTCGGATTACAAATGAAATTCTAAGAAAATCCTAAAATGTATTACGACGCAACCTTCTAAGCAAGTGGAGCACTAATCCACTGACTTGAGGACTGGGTAGAAAAAAGGAAATACTACTTTACTCATTTATCACACTTTTTAAGAAAATTTAAGCGCACTCTTTAAGGTGTACGCAAATATTTTGAAAGGGGTAAGAAATCCACTAAAATCCATTATTTTTTTGTTGTTAAAGCTTATACACTTTCCTACTATGTACTTCGTAATTCATTCAAATAGCGTCATTACTCTGAGTAATTGCAGGTCAAAATTATTAATAAAAGTTTACCGAAAGTATGCACAATGCTTCTGTTTAGAGCTGCCCGTAGCAACGATAATGGTAGCAAACGTGGTATTACTCGCGCAACTTTTCTTGAACTATGATCTTGATTCCCCCTCTCTGACACAATAAACAGTTGAAGACAAAACCTCTCAGAAAAGACGAGACCTTCTGACCGTGATTTTCCCCCGAAAAATTCACAGGAACTCCTAGAAAAATTAGAACGCAAATTATTGAGAAAGTTGCGACGGCATGACTGATTCTCCAGAGATTGGCATTGCTTCATAAAATCTAGTGTCCGATTTCGTAACTAATACCCCCCCACTCTACTCGCATTTCTTCAATCCATCGTTCAAGAGCAGTTGCGCGAGTAATAATGAATTTCTTTTCACAGATCTCCCTCCTTTTCATAATGGATATCCACGCAGATAGGATATTCACTCAGATAGGATATCCACTGGATCGTTTTAGTATTAATTATCATTATAACTAATTAAGAACACTTCATTAGCCGTCCTTAAATCACTCCTAATGTTGCGCTCCTCTCGGGCTCTTACGAGTAACGGATCCAAGGCAGCGCGTGCTTACCGCATGCGGGAGATGAAGGCCGGCGTGAAGTCCAGCGTCGTCCACACGCCGAGGTCTGAGTGCTTCACCTCGTCCCACGTGGAGTACTTGATGAGCGAGCACGCCGGCGACGGCAGGTCTGCAACAAGCAACGTAGCCATTACAACGGAGAACTGATGGCCACTTCACGTTGCAACCTTAAGCTGAAAAAGTTTATCATCTCTTAGGAGTCGGAGTAAAAAATGGAAATAAAATATGTTATTCAGGATTGAGTAGGAACTGAATTGTACTATAAGAAACGGACTATGCACTATAAGAAAGACTAAAGTTGAACGGTTTTCAATACCATCTTAGAAACGAACCGAAAGGACTTGCCGTACTAGTATTGAAAGTACAACAATTAGAAAAGAATATACGTGCCAGCCCCGACCGAAAAAATTTATATTGAGTTCTCTAGATTGTCAATTAAATTCGTATATCACACTGACAAACTGTCGTAAAATTGAGGTCTCCAATAACATATTGTACATCACACGGCAAAAAATGACTCCATGGCACGACGGGATTCCTGGACTCGGTCTATTAGCTTCGCTCGGAAATTCTCCTGTACAGTCATGAAAACATGGACCTTTATTTGACAATACAAATGCTAGTAATAAAACCGGGTCTTTCTCGCAGTACATATCAATCCTTTCTTGCAAAACCTACATCAGACAGAACATTGAATTGCTTCGTTCAATTTAACATTACTGTTACACAGTAAAACAAAATTTCTCGCTAAGATTGTGAGTGAGATATCATTGTGAAACTGTTCAAGAAGGTGTTGCTGTACATTTTCACTGCTTTAAATAAAATTACTTCAATTATATTACATTGCGGTAATAATAATTCAATATTTCCATAAGTATCTTCTAAAAAACTACAGTTTTTACTCTTCATATTAAGAAAACGCTATTTAGATTAAACAATTTACGCAGTTTTATGTTTCAATGTCAAACTATCCAATAAAGAACAAAATGAAAATCATTATGAAGTGGCTCTCAAGCAACCCACATATTGAAAAGCGTGATTTTAAATTATTCAGCCATAAAAGTAAAACGTCCACAGACTTTATTACTTCTTTATTCTCAGTTAAGAACTACTATGAAGTCGAAAAAAGTATATTTTATCATCTTAAAACAGGTTTTTGAGCAAAAATGACGATTCTTATGTGAAAACCTTTATAATCACACGCATTTTAGACACCATTATATTTTTAAGGTTACTCGCACTTTGTAGAAAGAGTTGCAAAAAACATTCACAGTTGGACAATGGCATACAGCTATTAAAAAAGAACAATGTTATAAAAAACGAGGAATATTCGCACGAACCCATCCTAGAAAGCTACTAATTAGACATAATTTTATTTCATAATAGCATCTAAAGAAAATCACTGACGTTTAATTGTTTCAAATTTCATCCACAATTTTCAATTCAAATTTAACAACTTAGTTCCCTATTTTCAAATAATTTTTTTCTTTTATATTTTGAATAAAAAATCTTGCAAATATCACGACTGTGGTTTTTCTGACGTTTTAAGGCTGTCTAGTTTGCAAATCACCACTTTTAAACTTACGGCAAAAAGTATCACATACTCAAGATTCTCCTTTTTTGTTCACCACCCATTGGTGAGTTCGTATTCTGGAATACAACCATATGGTTTTCAAAAAAAGAGCATACATGTGGACATAGAGACATAAGTTCTCCCTTGTAGCACTCTGAAACCACATATAGTTCAAACATTCCTTCAAATGTTACGTTTTCAAAAACTACGTATTTTCTTTCGCCACTTAAGCGAGAGGAAATCATCGAAGTCGGCATTGAAACGTCGCGGAGAGAAAAATGCGTTATCCATGAAAAACGTTTTCGACATCGACGTAAAAATAATTGACACTCCCGAATAAAATTTCGAAGCGCCGGAGGGACGCATTCGATATCAATGGAACGCAGTCGACCCGATGAGAAACATTCAGTATCAATCAAAAGCCGACAAAATTGGTACACGCTGAAGAGAGAGACCATTCCCGAGAGATGAAAAAATATCTGATGTCGATGAGAGGAATCGATATTCGAACTTGTTTATCATACTTAGCGTTCCTTTCAACAGTGTAAAATGAAATGATGTACGTTTAGCTGCACCGACGTAACAGAACGAATTTGTTCGAGTCTTGTTTTTGTGTGTGGTTCAGTAGCGGTAATCGAAGCTCTAGGTTTTATCCAGCATGTACTCACGCAACAAGCTAACTAGACATTCAGTTAACTAAGCACTTCTTAAATATAAAATATACCGATGCAATATTATTGAGAGAAGTATGATGGAGTACAGGAATAGTTCACAGGAATGGGATTACTTTCAGATGCAGATAAAATCAGCTACTTTGTACATTGTAAAAATACTATTATTTTTCTTGTTCGAAATTGAAAACAGTAATACCAAACTAACACATTTCATGCCAGCAGTTTTTAACTTCTTTCGGCATGTGTTTTTTTTTCAATTACCCCGAAGACACACAACCCCTTCTCGTAGCTTCAACATTCGCTTTGACGCGGTGTCCTACATCCAATGAGTACACACAAAGTAGCGGAAGAAAATTGTCATTAATGCGCCTATTTGTATGAGGAACAACATATTATCGACACTAAGCGAAATGACGTCTTCACAGTCGCTTTCATGAACTAGTCTTGGTTCGCATTCAACAATGCCTCTTACGAGACGCCTTCGTTTTCCAAGAATTTAATGTCGTCTTCATGGAGATTTACATCGTGTCGCATCAGAGCTGGCCTGGTAAGTGTAACTCCCTTTGAACAAAGATTAAATAATATTGCAGTTAATTTAAATGTATTACATTTCGGTGCTTTTCTTTGATTTGCATGAGCAATGGGTAATATTATAAGTCAGACGTGCCTAACTAAAAAAAATCACGGTTCTGGATCGCATTTGTCTCAAGGAGGACTTAAAATCGATCACGAGCAGTTAGATGCAAAATTAGAAAACAGTTAATGCAGAAATGTGGTAACAAATCGTGTAAGTCTTGAGAAAAATGAAAAAATAAATGTCCCGTATATAGTGGCTCTCCGTGTTACGTTGCGCTTTTTTTACTGCGAAATAGCGCCATATCAGCATTAAATATAGGTAAATATTGCTCACCAATGGACTAAAACGATGGAGTTGTTACCAGAGTGAAATAAACGGTACAGAACATGAAATAAATAAAATAAGGAACGGAAACTACATTAGTGAAAAATAATAGAAACAAGTGTTCATGGACATTTATGACCATGAAGGTAATATTCTAGATAGTTATGTAAATCGCAACGCAAAAGGACAATACTGAAAATGTTAACACGAAATGAGATGAACAGAAATATATCAATGGAAAATTTACATTATTGCACGTTGAATAGTGATTTCAGTATAAACAATTTCGTTTCTGTAAGGGTTTACACTATGGAATATTGTAGTGCAACATTGTTATTGAAATTCATTTAGAACGGTTCTTAATTAAATATACAAATAAAGGACAGATCATATTTCTATAATTGAACACAAGAATGCATTGGAGCACAAGACCAACAAAACATTATTTGATGGTTTTTCGAGCACACAAGTTTATTATACTATAAATTACTAATTTGGTCAATACGACTCGTAAGTTATTTTTGAAAAGACGTGCACCGCGCAATCACGTAAGTTAACAAACGTGGAATGAAGCATAAGAATTAAAACAGAAAACATTTATAAATTAGAGACATTGTTTCCTCAGAAGAGAGGAATTCTTCGAATTTCTTTCACACAATTCTCAGCTAAATATTTTTGGAATAAATTAATCTCTTAGAGAGAACATACTTACAAGACATTTTATTCCTAATCACTTCAAGGGCATATCATTACAAACGAGTAACTGATATTGCATCCTTCAGAGTTCACGGTCTCAAGAGGCGCTCATTAAAGTAACTGGCTTACTGGCCAGGCACGCGATGGCGAACGCGTGGAGAGAGACGGCCAGTGGCATCAGCGGATCCGACGGCATTCGAGGGCGCGTGGGAGGAAGGGACCGAGGGCGGGGGCGGGGACGGGCACGGGGGCGAGCGCATGGCGGCCAAAAGGGAGCGAAGGGGACCGCAGCGAGGGAGGCGCCGGGCGACGCGTATTTTCAAAGCCGCGCGCGCCGGCGTTTTCTTTCAACGCGGGCGACGCGTGCCAAATAAATCGGCGACAAAGCCGCGCGCCGCTCGCGCCGATAATAACCGCCAGCGGTCCCGCCTCGACCACGCCTCCGCCGCGTCGCTTCCATCGCCACTCGCCCTACCGCTGCCACTACCTCCTCCGCTCACCTCCACCGCCTCCTCCGCGCCTCTATCGCCTCGTCCCTAACGCCAGCACTCACCTCCTCTTCCTCCCCCGCCGCCGCTTCCCCCGCCGCGCTATCGCCCCGCCCCCGCCTCTGACACTACCCTCCTCCCCTCCTCGTCGCCGCCTATATCGCCCGCCGCTACCGCTGCCCTCACTCCTCCTCCTCCGCCGCCGCCGCCTCCCCCGCCTCTAGAACCCCCTCTCCGTTCCCAGGCTTCCTCCAACACGCGCTCGCACCCCTGCCGCCGCCTCCGTCAGCACTCCTGCTCGTCCTTTCCGACTCCTCCACCTCTCCCACCAACACTACCGTCCACACCATTCCTTTGTCCGCGGCCCCCTGCGTTAGCACTTCTGCCTGTCCTTTCCGACTCCTTCTCCGCCGCCACCTTCAATACCGTGGCCACTACTCCTGCGTCCGTTGCCGCCTTCGGTCAGCCCTTCTGCCTGTCCTTTCCGATACTGTGTGTCCTTTCAGACATCGCCAGTACCGTTGCCCCCACTTCTGCGTTCGTCGCCACCTCCGTCAGCTCTTCTGCCTGTCCTTTTCAAGTCCCCCACCACCACAACCGCCAGTATTGTCCCCATCATTCCTGTGTGTCGCCGGCCCCGTCTCGACTACAGACTACCCTTTCCGAATCCCTCACCACCACCATCGCCAGTACTGCCCCCACCACTCATGAGTCTCTCGCTCAGCCCTACTCTTTGGCCTGTATTGCTGCTGCCAATTCCCTTTCTATATCTGAAGC